AAATTAATCTTGACTTGTGAACCACTCTTTGGTCTCCTGAAGAAAGGAACAAAGTTTCAATGGGACGGCCGATGCCAAGCTGCTTTTAAACAGATCAAGCAATACTTACAGAACCCACCCGTGTTGTCACTGCCTGAGCCGGGGAAACCGTTGATTTTGTACCTTCCAGTAACTGAAACTACAATGGGCTGCATGTTTGCACAGGAGTCTGAGGACAAGGTGGAGAGAGCTATCTACTACCTGAGCAAGAAGATGCTGGACTACGAGACTTATTACACTCCGCTGGAAAAGGCTTGCTTAGCCTTGGTATGGGCTACCAGGAAGCTGCGGCATCACCTGTTAGCTCACTCTGTAATGTTGGTTTCAAGATTAGATCACATCAAATATCTCTTCGAGAAACCATCACTTACGAGTAGGCTAGCTCGTTGGTTGCTTCTGCTTTCCGAATTCAATCTGAAGTATATGATGCACAAGTTAGTGAAGGGGAGAGCAGTAGCGGAGTTCCTAGCCGATCACCCAGTTGAAGGGGATGAAGCAATTGAGTACCTATTCCCAGACGAGGCCATTCTGCAAGTCGAAGAAGAATTTTGGACGATGTACTTTGACGGCGCGTCAAACCAATACGGGTATGAGATAGGGGTGTTGCTGATAGGACCCGATAATTCTCATATTCCTATAGCATTCAAACTCCGGTTCAAAGTCTCAAACAATGAAGCAAAGTATGAAGCGTGTATTGCTGGACTAGAAGCAGCTCTGGAACTAGAGGCAAAACAGTTGGATGCCATCGGGGACTCGAACCTTGTCGTATCTCAAGCAAAAAGAGATTGGAAAGTCAAAGAAGAAAAGATGAGAATATACCACCAGACCTTGGACTTACTGATTCCTCGGTTTGAGAAGCTAAACTTCGCTCATCTACTAAGAGAGAACAACAGGTTCGCAGATTCACTAGCAACTCTATCTTCTATGATAGACATCCCTTTCGGAGTCCAGATGCGTCCGATCATCATCGAACAAAAATTTACGCCGGCCTACGAGCTGATTGCTGCCATAGATGAGGTACAAGATGAGAATCCTTGGTATTATAATGTTTTGAACTTCTTGAAAAAAGAGACGTATCCACCAGGGGCAAATGCCAAGGACAAAAGGGCAATTAGAAGAATGGTTGCTCAGTTCATCGTCTGCGGGGGAAAACTATATAAGAGAGGTCATCTCGGGATGCATAAGTTGTGTGTTGATGCTAAAGAATCGAAGCGCCTGATGGAGGCCATCCATGGAGGAGAGTACGAAGCACACATAAATGGGGTGATGCTAGCCCGAAAGATCCTCAGACAGGGTTATTACTGGTCCACCATGGAGGAGGATTGTATTGGCTTTGTTCGGCGATGCCACAAATGTCAGATCCATGCAAACTGCATGAATATTCCGTCGTCGAAGCTGTACAACATGACTTTGCCATGGCCATTTTCAGTCTGGAGGATTGATGTGATGGGGCTGTCACTCCAAAGGGATCCAATGGGCATGAGTTCATTTTGGTCGCGATAGACTATTTCACAAAGTGGGTTGAGGCCCAATCTTATGCGGTGTTGAAGGCACCGCATGTTGCAAAATTCATCAGGAACAACATCATCTGTCACTATGGAGTCCCGAACGAGATCATTTCAGATAATGGTTCCCATTTCAAGAAAGAAGTGATCGACTTGTTAGAAAAATACAATGTGGCTTTTCATAAGTCATCTACATATCGGCCACAAACCAACAGAGCAGTCGAGGCCGCCAACAAGAACATCAAACACATTTTGCAGAAGATGGTGGAAACCTATCGGGACTGGCCGGATAAGTTGCCATTTGCTCTGTGGGGCTACCGGACGTCAATTAGAACTTCTACTAGAGCGACTCCGTATTCATTGGTTTATGGGATGGAGGCCGTTCTACCTATCGAAATTGAAGTTCTGTCATTACGGGTACTGGCTGCGTGTCAGATAGCTGAGGCAGATTGGCAGCAGAGCAGGTTCGAGGAACTCATGCTCTTTGACGAGCAAAGACTGAAAGCACTGTACCATGTTCAGGGTTATCAACGCAGAATTGCCAGGGCTTTCAACAAGAAGGTTAAGTCCAGGAATTTGAAAGAAGGAAATTTGGCGCTCAAAGACAACCGAGCTCCCATCCACGACCCAAGGGGCAAGTTCAGACCTAATTGGACTGGTCCTTACATCATCAAGTCTATCTGGTCAGGTGGAGCTGTGATTCTAATGGACTTAGATGGCCTAGAGTTCTCCCAACCAATCAACATAGACAAGTTGAAGAAATATTTTTCCTGAGAGGCTCGCTAGGTTGAAAACCCAAAAGGGGCGACCTAGGCAAAAGTTAGAGCATAGAAAATTTGAAATTATAAAAACTGAGCTCGCAAGGTTGAAAACCCGCAAAGGGCAGCCTAGGCAAAAGTTAGAGCGTAAAAGGTAAGGGTTAATACACGAGTGAACCTGAGCCGAACTACATAAGGCTTGATTCCCATGTTTGGGATACGTAGGCAATTTCGTCCTGAAGTCCAGCCTTAATCACTTTCCCAATCAACTTTGTCCATTTGATCATCTCGGTCTTCTTTGTCTATTCAGCATTCAAGAGTTCGGTTGTGATCTCCGGTGTAGTGCTATTCAGACTAGGGGTAACTTTCCAGTTGCTGGAATCCAGGGTTGTGCATCTCGGTGACAGATTTCAGGCGTGTCCAGTTCTGATCCATATCAAAAATGGTTTTGACAAGTTTTAATAAAAGTTGATTTTGCTCAAATTAATCTTTTTTTTACAACTTAGACCATTTTTGGACCAATCGGAAAATTTTCAGTACCACAACCTTCAATTTTATTGATTTTAATACAGAGTTCTCCTGCTCTTTAATACAAATTGAAGTTGCTTTTCATTACATTCATAAAGAAAGCTTGAAAGTTCTGATTAAAGCAAATAAATTCAGGACATAGTCAGGTGTTCCCGCGTCCTCTCCCAGAGCTGGTCGAAGCCTCTGATGCCAAGCTGGGCCTGATCTGTGCCTCTTCATTGAGCCAATCTAAGCACTCATCAGAGAGGGTGTAGCTGAAAGTAGGAGCGGAGGCCAGAAGCTCTCTCGTCCTCCATGATGCGGCATACCGAGCTAGCTGCGCGCCTCGGACCGGAAATATAGCGGGGTACTCAATCCCCTCCTCTAGGCAAGTCTGATCATGTCCGAACTAGCGCCGAAACTGGACCGGAAAGTAAAATACGCAGTGTGTCAGGCCAATCAATTGGATCCCGGGCTGACGAGTCATGCTATAGCTCATTGCTGGTAAATTGAGCCAAAGGCAACGCCAAGCAATGCGATCCACGGACAAATTGCACATCCAGCTGTACTACCATCCTTTATCCGGAGCATCGACTAGACGTCGTCGGGAGAAATAGCTACGAGCTGAATATGCCGGACACGAGTCCACAACTCTCAACTTGTCCATCAACCACACCTAGGGAGGGATGAAAAATAAGAGAATAAAGAATAAAGAGATGTACGTTGAGAGAAAAAGTGAGCAGAAGGTTTTGAGAGAAAAATTGAGCCTGAGGGCCGTGTGATGTGAGTAATATATGTGAGATGGGGTGGGAAAAATTACCTACAATAGTAATGGACTCCCTATAAACCTAGCCGTCTCCCGACGATGAAAAGCGTCTAAGCCCATCAATGTCTCGGCCAATGTCATGGCGATGCAGCTTTTGCCCTCTTTCAAGCCCTCGGCGACCTCAATCAAACGAGTGCTAAGCCCGTCAGAGCCCGGGGCTAGTAAGAAATGAGATAGCATGCATAAGCAGAGCGCATGTCGTCAATAACCCTGCCAATGATGGTCGCTGCGGTCACCAACATTAGAAAACCAACAAACCAAGCTCGAAGTGTCTAACTCTCCATCATGAATCAATGATCGAGCATCATGCACAGTAAGGCCGCACATCCGTCCTAAGGCTTGGATGTGGCCGAACCGGAACTGAGGCAAGATTTTCTCGTCGCGCTCGGATTCCATTAAAGCTTGGAAATCCTCAAAAGTGGGTCACATCTCTTGATCTCCAAAACTAAAGATGTGTGTTACCGGATTCCAAAACCATGCCGCGGCATGGAGGAACGGAAAATGCAGCGTGGTGCGACCCAGCGTGAATAGTGCATTTATGCCGAAACCCTAGAAATTTAGCCTTTCCGAGCCATCCAAGTTGGCAATCCAAGTTGTGAGATTTTGGGCAAGAAACTCTTCCATTTGGTGCAAATCAATGTGAAATGAGGAAAACTACGATTTTATAGAAGATAAGGTGTTTAGTGGAAGACAGGTGTCAACATTCTAGAGGTGCTTACCATTTTTGGCCGATCGGCCAAAAATAGTGCCGACCGACCATCCTTTTTGGCCGATCGGCTAAAAATGTTGGCCGATGGCCATTTCTTGTGGCCGGTGGCCTTGCCCTTTGGCCGATGGCCTTTTTTCTTGTTCCCTGAGCTGTTTATGTATTGAACATGCTGAGAATTTGCGACTGGCACCACTTCCAATGCCTTCTGGTGATGATTTTGCAAAGTCACGCCTATGTTACTTCGATTTGTTTATTGAGTTGTTGTACATTTGCTTATCGAGTTCTATTTCACTTTCTTTAAGTCTTCGCTTTGCTTATCGAGTTGTATTTACACTTGGTTAGCTTATCTAGTTCTTTGTTTTGATTATTGAGTTGTTTTTGTCGTTAGTCAGTTCACTACCTGATTATTACAATGTAAGTGATTAATTTTCAAACAAAAGTTCAATCTCATTTACATTATTATGTAATGCGATGCGATGCATAGAATGTACAAATGCAACACTTTTTGAACAAAATAGTTGTTTCATTTCTATCATATCTTTTGCAAAAAGTACATAATTTTGAGGAAAGTGAAACCTGCCTGAGGCAATACAATGTGCTCAAACTACCAGTAAAAAGAAAAGTAAAGCAAAAAAAAAAAAAAAAAAAAAAAAAAAAAAAAAAAAAAAAAAAAAAAAAAGAGGAGAAAACAACCAAATGTTTGAACAGAGCAAAGAAAAGAAAAAGCAGCAGAATATCTTGATCAATATCGATGGCCGCAAGTGTGGGAGTCAGTCCTGGTCCTCTTCCTGGACGAGGGTCTAGGGTCACCACCGCCATCTCCATAGTCAGAATCTGAGCTGTCTCCGGCCTCGCCCTGGGACGACGCTGTCTCCTCGTCAGAATCATCGGGAGAGGGCTCTCGCGAACTGCTCTCAGCATGAGCGTGCCTATGTCTGCACTGGCTATGGAATGTCATCCCCCACTTGGCTCCCCCTCCTCCTCGAGTAGGAACAGATGGTCCAGCTAGAGCACCTCTCGCGGCCGAAATCTGGAATGGGGCCTAAAAAGAACAAATGGCAAATGCATCAGTTATGCTACGCAAAGCAGAGTATGAATACCGAATACAGTGTATGAGTACAGTGTATGAATGCTGTGAGCAGTGTATTAGTATAGAATGCAGTGTGTAAGTACAGTGTATGAATGCCGTGAGCAACGCTGTGAGCAGTATGTGGGTTACAGTGTATCAATGCCGTGAGTGTTGTGTATCAAGTGTCGTGTTGACAGTGTGATGCATCAGATTATGTATGAAACAGATTATGCAGAGTTTAAGACTGCTGTTGAAAGAACTTACCGAGATGCCATAGATGGTCAACAGGTCGATGCTCCGCTGTAGCATCCCTATCATAGAGGCAGTCAATTCCAAAGACTGGCGAGTGTACTCCACGGAAGCCTGCAAAAGGGTTAAAAGCATCAGTATTCTGCGGAATATCAAGAGAAATGAAATGAAATGGTTGTACAGAATGCAAAGTATGGTAATACATACCGGGGTTGAGCCACAGACTCCGACAAGCTCATGATCAGCCGGAGGAGGAGCAATGGGTATCTGGTAAGTCTCCCCACCCTGTCATCGGCATGTTATTGTCATAGGCAGCTCTGGCCATCCAGCTCCCTGCCCTCTCCGGGACCCACTGATGCCTCAGGCCAGAGGTGCCCTTGGTGCCCCTGCTCCTGCAGCTGGCGCTGCTGGCCTCTCTTTCTCGGCTCGGCGAGCACCAGTCAGAGGCCGCATGAGATAAGCCTGGATGTACTCGGTGTAATCGCCCTCGTCTCTAACGCGCTCATAGCTCCAGCCAATCGTGTAGTCTATCATCTCCTCTAAGGTGTACCTCTCAGTGTGCCTCATGTGGGAAGGAGGAGGTGCTGGAACTGTTTGCTCTGGCACGCCCAAGGTCTACCGCAGGAAGTGCTCCCCAAAGTACCAAGTGCGGCAGACCGGTCCCTCTAACAAGACCCTAAACCGGGCAGTCTCTCGAACACTGGCATACCGCTCCCGAACTGTATCAGGCAACGGGGCCCAAGGCTGCCAGGTGATCTGCAAATAATACACAATTTGTTATATACTATTATTAAGAGTACAATATAAAGTGAAGCTTAAATAAACTGTAATGTTTGACATACCTCGGCTGCGGTGATGGTGTCAAAGTAGCGGTGGAAGAACATGAAGGACTCCCGTGGCCTCCGCTCGCATCTCACATCGAAGTGGTGGGAAAAAGGAACCATGGGGGGCGTCTCCACATCTAGCACTGGGGCGAGCCTAGGAAAGGAGGCTTACACCCACAACTACAGAATGTAACAGAGCAGATATGAGTATGCTTATCAGATAAAGTAGTATACAAATAAAGCAGAGTGCAGTATGTGCAGTGTGTGCAGTGTACAACCAGTGTAAAGCAAATTGCGTGCGCGCAGTGTGTGTGATGTACAGATAATGAAAAATAGAATTAAAAAGACAGAAAGGAAACGTATACCTCCGAGGCTTGCTAGTAGCCTCCAAGAAACTGCTCGCTGCGGCGGGAGGATGAGCTCATATATCCGTAAAGGGTGGCCAAGCCCGCGCCACCCTAGTTGTAGCCGCGGATCCGCGTCATGTCCATAAGTGCGCTCAGTAGGTAAAGGGCGACAGTGTTCGCCCGGTCGGCGAAGAGCGTGATCCCCAGCAGGAACATAATGAAGCCACGAGCATACTGCTCCTCCTCCTCCCGAGTAGTAGGCGCCTAGATTCAGAAGTGATCCTCGAACCATAAGTACTTCACAGACCCTGGCCGGGCAAGAGGTGGCTGAGTGCCAAGCAAGTATAGCTGAGCGGCGTCCCACTCGTCCATATCTGTATCAAAGGGGATTGGATCACCCCCTGCTCCGATGCCTGTGAGCATAGAGAAGTCAAAGGAAGTCATCGTCATCTCCCCAGTGGCAGAAAGGTGGAAAGAGTCGGTGGTGTCCCACCACCTCTCCACCAAAGCAGCAAGAAGGGGCCTACTCGCAGTGAGGCGTGAGAGTCCCATGCAGAAGGTCCCAAAGCCGGCCTGGTCGACAATATGGCGAACCGTATCGAGTAGCTCCATGTACCATCCTCAAGTAACGATATTCTCATACCCCCAAAAAGCATGGGAATCTCTCTGTGTTCAAAGACAAACAGATGCGAAGCAGTGTCAGATGTACAGTGTTTGAATGCGTTCAGAATTGGGGAAAATGCAGTGTGGGTGCATATGTTCGAGTTTACACAGATATTGGGTAGGCTAAACATACGATGTAACAGTTTGTTTGGGTTATTCAGTTTAAAATGCAGTGTGTGTGCATGTGTTTGGGTGCGCTCAGAATTGATGAAAATGCAGTGTAGGTGCATGTGTTCAGATTTAAATAGATATCGAGTGTAGGCGTGCTCACAGTGAACTACAGCATATGATGTATCAGTGTGTTTGAATTGTTTAGTTGAGAATGCAACGTATGTGCATGTGTTCAGATTTAAACAGATATCGGGTGCAGATGTGCTCACAGTGAACTACAACATGTGATGTATCAGTGTGACTAAGTTAAGCAGTTAAAGAATAGAATCGACTATCGCAGTTATATGTTCTACATTGCAGAAAATGAAACAGAGGAAGAATATACCTCAGCGGCGCTGTAAGACAGATGTGACTCTGGCTCGTGCAACAAAAGCTCCAGTGGCGCGCCCCACGCATAACTCCTGAAGTGGCGGATGCCATCGGGAGGCAACACGTGTATCGCCGTTCTGTAAGTCGCCGGATCGAACGGCCGGATGAGAAGAGGTAGGAGCTCGACCTCGGGGTCCACGTCCATCTCCGGGGTAGTCCCACCACGTGGAATGTCGTCTGCCATCTCAAAAGGAGCATGAAAATGGCCAAGAATGTGAAAAACAGGCAAGAATGTGAAAGGTCAACCCAAAAGTCAACCCCGAGAGGATAAAAAATGAGAGAAAAGGTCGGAGTGTGGAAAAGGCATGAAAACCAAGTAAACTCGGGGGGAAACAAACCCCAAGTAGTGGAAACCAAGAAAGAAACACCGAAAATCGAGTTTTGTTCGGTTTAAAGTGTGCGAAATAGGAAGGGTTTCGCGAATCGAACAACGAAAAAGGCTAAAAAACAAGAGAAAAATGAGGATCAAAGGCGGGAAAATCACCTAGAGAGAAAGAGGAAGGATTTTCGAGCTTGGAGAAGTGAAAATATAGGGTTTGGAACCCCAAATTTAAAGACCTGTGGCCAAAGGACATAACTGCCCTCAAAATTGCCATTTTTGGCCGGCCGGCCAAATTGTTAGCCGATTGGCCAAATAATTGGCCGATGAGATCCTTTTGTGGCCAATGGATGGCCGGTGGCCTCCCCTTGTGGTTGATGCACCTCTCACACCCTTGTCTGGGTCAATTAGGTTGTTTGAGACCTTCATTCCTCAAATCAGTGCAAGAAAGTAGACTTTGAAGCTCAACCGGCCTTCGTGTTGACCTCGAATCGTGCCTTCTGAGTGCGATGCTCTATACGCGCAAGGTGTATCCTTTTTCATATCCTTTTGTATCTTGCGAGATTCAAAAACTGCTTTAAATGCGTTGCATTACAATGTTTTGTCTTGTTTATGATAATCGTGCATCTCTGGCATTGTTATGCATGTACTACATGCGTTGTCATGCACACCATTCTTGCATTGTTATGCACTGTTCATATGCGTTGTAGCGCACACCATCACTTGCATTGTTATGCACTTTTCACTTACATCGTTACGAACTTTTCACCTGCGTTGCTACGTGTCTTTCAACTTGCATTGCTATACGTATTGGAATTGTATCTTGACGTGACGTTGGATACGTGTTGTTACTATATTGTACCTGTCAAGTTTCTTTCTTATGCAGGGCACGATATTGTATGTACGGTTCATTTGAGGTTGGTGCAACCAGACAACACTGTATGTGCAGTTTATTCAGAGGAATTCCAGGGAAGACTCTTACTGTCCTTTGAGTTCATTTTGTTTCAGTTAGAAACACCCCGGCGTGCTCGATGTGATTTGTTGAGTGTTGTGCCTCCCTTCTCTTGCGTGTGATACACTGAGAATTGCCTTCCTTCTCTTGCGTGTGACACGCTGATAATTGCCTCCCTTCCCTTGCGTGTGATACGCTGAGAATTGCCTTCCTTCTCTTGCGCGTGATACGCTGAGAATTGCCTCCCTTCTCTTACGTGTGATACGTTGAGAATTGCCTTCCTTCTGTTGCATGTGATACGCTAAGAATTGCCTCCCTTCTCTTGCGTGTGATACGTTGAGAATTGTCTTCCTTCTCTTGTGTGTGATACGTTGAGAATTGTCTTCCTTCTCTTGCATGTGATACGTTAAGAATTGCCTCCCTTCTCTTGCGTGCGATACGCTGAGAATCGCCTCCCTTCTCTTGCGTGCGATACGTTGAGAAATATTGTGTTTGAGACTCCGGGCTTTCTCGGTAGTCGCTTTTAGTATTTTCCGCGCGAGACGCGATGAGAATTGCATAATTTTCTTACGTCCTTTTTGCATGAAATGTAGTTTGATTCTTGTTCGCTTGCTTAAATCATTGCATGTTATGCTTCATTACAGCTCTCTTTGCATGATCATAAGTTATGCTCGGCATTGTGCACGTCATTTGCATCTTGCACCTGCCTGCGGGCGCATCTCTTTGTTATTTTGTATGTTTGTCTAAGTCTTCGGCCTTGTCGAAAATGGGTCGTCTCTGGGTTTTGACATTCACTCCCGTCATCTTATGACTTTCGAGTTCTGTCAAAGAGGGGCAACTGTAGACATCCCATTTTTTACCGTCCTTAAGACTTGAACGTCATCGTTTGAACACTCAATGATCATTCATGCTAGTGTTCGTTTTGAATTCCCAAAGGTCTCGGTTGCACACCTCGCCTTAAGATCTCCTAACTCGTCTATTTTGTGCTTGGTTGTGGACCAAGGACTTGTGTTTTCACTTCTGGGGAAAGGGGGGCTGGCTTGTTGGCCATTCCCACACCCTATCGGCTATGGCATGATGTCATCGGCCTTGTTTGCTTGCCATCGGCCATAAATGTTGGCCGGTCGGCACTTTTGTTGGTCGGTCGGCACTTATTTTGGTCGATCAGCCATATTTTCCGGGCGAGGCCTTTTCTTTGCCTTTTTCAGGCATTGTGCATGCCATTTGTGCCAACTGGTGAGCACAGACTCTCCCCTCCATACACGTGTATGGAGGGATTTGAACCAAAACTTAACTTCTTTAAGAAGCTTTGAATTTGATTTCCTATAAGAGGGGAACCTCCCCTCCCTTTCCAGAGGTTCAGCAAAATTGATATAGAATATATATATCTATATCTCCCTCTCTCCATATATTTGTGTATGTGTTTGTGACCTAAAGTGTGTTTTTGTTCATACTTTTGCACTAGAGCACCTAGTAGAATACCTTCCTTTGGTTGCTGAGGCACTAGGAAGTTGGTTTTAGAGTTCTTGGGTTGGTTTTGATCCAAGGGAGTGGCTGGAGTTGTGTTCTTGAAGGTGTTCTTCAAAGGTGAGCAACTAACCTTTTGTTTCCCTATTTTGGCTTAAGCTTTTAGACCTATTTTCATATTGTTTCAAGCTTAACTATAAACTGAAAAAAGTTCTCTTTTTATATGCTTAAGATGATTGTTTAAGGTCTCTTTCGGGTTGGGAGTTGTCTACCCCCACTTAGGCCTTGTTTGGCATTATTTTGGGTCATCCTTTTTGGCCTTTGTTCTTACTTTAGTGGTGGAAAGGTGGTTTTAGAGTCTTGTATAGGAGAGGGACACCCCTCTCTCCTTGTGTCTCATTTGCTTGTGTTAATGGCTTATAATGGTAGTATGTTTGCTTAACATGTTTTTGCTTCATTTCAGCAAGTATTTGTTGTTATTTGGTCATGCTATACCTCTGTTTTAAGTTGGTTTGATAGCCTCTTACATGCATCATGCACTTGTTTAGCAATCCTCTTATTTGCCTTAACACGCACCTTGCATTTAGACCATCATGCTTGCACACTTTGGCTTAACTCAAAGGAACTTTTAGTCATATTTCAGCATGCTAAAACTCTGTTTCATGTTGTTTTGATCATACATACATTGCTTTGTATAGCTACCATACATCCTAGCTTGTTAGCTTCGAGTGTCCAAGCCATTAACATGCACTACTTAGACCATTTTCATGATTTGGCATCATCCCATATGTGATTTCAGTCCATGTAGTGTAGCCATA